AGTCTCTAGGGTTGAAGGGGTTTTCATGATCATCATGATCGTCTTGCATTTAAGCCTATCTGTCTCATTTAATACGTTAAATGTTGCAAGATAAGGAAGTGTTTAAGATCTGCCCTTAATCTTAGTTTAAATTTGCTATTAAAATTTGCTAATGTTAATTTATTAACATTTTCACGCTAGTTATCATAAATTTTGATTGGTGAATATGTTCTTAAAGTCATTGATATTCTATGCCAAATGATTCTGCATAGTCATCGAAATATTCAAAAAGTTTGAAGTTGATTAGTCCAAAATATCTGCCTCTATTCCAGCCTCTGATAGATATTTTGACAGTTATTGGTTGGAGTAGAGTCAGAAAAACTTGGCCATGTTTTGTGGGGATTTTCTGCACCTATAAATGTTGTGGTCTCTACACTAGCCGACAACTTTCAAAATAGCTATGGTCTATGAACAATAAGCATTAAATTGAATGTTATATTCAGTATATAAGATTATAATGTATGTTTTATGTAAAATTAGTCATGGTTTATACTTGTGATAATGCCTACATTGATAATGTTTATAAATGATTATAGAAACAGCAATATAAACAGGAAATAACAGGAAACAGACACAGTTTTCAAAACTTCCTTCCTTTTCTTACAAATTATATTATTTCAAATTATCGGGCTTGTACATTTGTACAGGATATATGCTGTGAATATAACAAGCATAAGCTTTTAAATTTCAAAATTGCTGAATTGACATTTTAAGAATATTGCCAAATGCTGGGGAAAAGTAATTGAGGTCTGCTACTAAAAATCTGATGGTTGCTGTGTGAAATATCATAACTTATAAATTCAGTATAATTTCAAGAAATATGATTTGTTAGCTATTGTAAGCAAGCAAATAATTCAGTTTTGAAATCTGAAATAATTGCTTGAAATTAGACTTTGCTGAGAGTGTGCTTTGAAATATGCCATATTACATAACTAATTCAAGCTTTATTTTGTGTGTTCTTGACAACTCTTAGGCATTGATATTTTGAATAAATCTCTCAAGTGGCTCATATAAATGTTGTTTTTTATTAAAATGATGATTTCATTTGGTTTTTGCTGTTCTAAACTCTGTTATTTTAACCATTCAGAAAGTATATGCTGGAATTAAATTTGTGAATATCACACCTGGCAAAGTCAGGATAGACATAAAGATGTTCTTATGTTTGTTATTCGCTGTTCAAATTGTCATTATTTTGTCCTTACCCTGGTGAATTATGAAGAATCTACTTGAGAATAAGACCTCCGTATTTGAAGATTTGAATAAGATGATTCTATAGAAATAAAGACAGCTAGAAAGTTAAGTTTAGTTTAAAGAATTGTTAACTTGGCACAAGAATGAAGATATCATTAGAATTTATCAGTTCAAAAAAACTTTTAACTGTGGTTAANATCTTTCACACATTGTCAGGTGTCAGTCTTTAATTGACATGATTTACCTGCCATTT